TCTCTTTTATAAAAGCCTTAGTCCCATTGATGAGGGGGGAGCCTTCATACCCTGATCACCTCCTAAATAGTATTGCATTGGAGATGAAGTTTCTTGAATTTCAGGGTATACAGTACCCCCAGACCAAAGTTTTACACTGGGGACAAGACCACTTTCAAAGGAGCAAAACTTGGATCTCGACCTGTGGAGAAATCTTAGACATTGTTATAGTCTGGACCTTCCCGAATTCAAGCTTGCCTAACGCAGTCTTACTTCTTTATATTTAATTTTCCCTGTCAAAGATAGCAACCTTAATTTAAATTTTATTTTATTTGTAGTGCTAGGGACTGAACCCAGGGTCTTGTGCATTCCAGGCAAGGTGCTCTACCTTTGAGCTACATCCTCAGCCCCATTTTAAATTTAAATGCAATTAAAATTTTCTCCTTAAGAAAGAGAGAGGAGGGAGGGAGGGAGGGAGGGAGAGAGAGAGACCTTGAAAAGCACCATTCTATGTAGAGGAAACCCAAAGCCAGCAGTCCTGAACAGACTGGGAGTTTGTGGTACCCTTTCTGAGGGGTAAAGTTTGGGCGTATGAATAATGAATTCTTGGAGGAGAACTCAAAAGCTTTTTCTTTCTTCTCAATAATGAACATTCTCTCCATGAAAAATTTGGGTCCCATAAGCATCTAGCTGTCTACCTTATTATTTGTCCATTCTAAGTTCACCTATAGGTGTGACATTCTGGAGTGAAGGCTTTGAGGTCCAACACACCTGGTGTAAATCCTGGTGCTGTCCTTCACTCTGTGTCTTTTGGCAGATTCTTCAATTTATCTAAGCCTTGTTTGAATTTGTCCAGTAGAAGTAAAAACTACCTGGTAGATTTGTTAAGATGAAACATGAATTAGTTATAAAGGGTATGAAACAGGGTCTGGTGTATAATAAGTGCTCAATTAATGATAGAAGAAGTGGTTATTAATAGCTATCTACCTTCCCATCTACCTGGTATCACTATCATAGTACAATACTTGTGGGCACAAGACAGCAAAAAAAAAATATGAATCAAACAAATCTTTTCTGACCAGACTTGACCAACTCCATGTCACTGTTATATGAGTCCCCTTTCTGGGCTATTGGAACAATAGAAAGTGGGAGGTGTGGGCTCCCTTCTCACAGGATTCCCAGGGACAGTAAAGCCTTTATTTACTTATGTCACAGTATTTATGTGACATCTCTTTCTTCCATTTTGAAGACTAAGTGGCCCTTGAGGGGGTTATTCCATAAAAGAAGAGTTAATCTGAAATTAGATTAGCCAAAGTAGGCTTTGATTTTTTCCTGGTATTATGAAATTAAGCCAGATTTGCTTTAGCCAAAGGAAATACAAAACCCCTCCTCTTAAGGTTTTGTTAAAAAAAACAAACCAAGAAACAATAATACATATAAGACAGGGGAAAGAAAAAGAATGAACTGATTTTATGTAACAAGGGAGTTATGATATTTATTATCTTAAAACCAAGTCACGGGCTGGGGATTTAGCTCAGTGGTTCAGCCACCTGCCTCATAAGCACAAGATCCTGAGTTCAGTCCCCGGTACCAAAAAAAAAAAAAGTCACATCTGAAACCTTTTATTTTGTACTCCTATCTGTTATTTATTCAACTTGCTTAATGCTATTGTTTTGAGCCTTGTCTTGGTAAATTGCTGTTATTATTGGAAGTTAAGTTCCTTAAAGCACTCTAACATGGAAAAGAAAACCAAAATAAACAAGATTTCGTCCAAGTCTGTTATTTCATAGAATCATTTTTTAAAAATGCATCCAGACTTATGTAAATACAATTTGAGTAGGTGTAGTAAAAGACTTACTAACAATTTCCTGGAATGCTCGTAGAGTGAGCTGATCACTGGGCTCCGTCACCCAGCGTGAGAGTGGCAGTGACTTCTTGCTGCCATGTCTGAGGCCCTCTTTAGCTCCCAGCGTGCATCTGTGCAGTGGCGCCTCCGGGGCCAGCTGCTAGTCAACACGGTCAACTGCAATTTCAAGCCTAGGTTGTGCTTTTAGCCAGCTCCAGCTCCTTTGGGCTCCTGGGACAGTTTATATATAATTATTGGAATGTTAAACAGATAAGTGTCTACAAACTAAGAATTCAAAAAGGCCAAACCACCACGGAGTCCAGAAAAGAGGCTCAGACAGTGCCGTCCATTCCTGCCCAGCTGTCTCTACCTTGTCTTGCCTTGGGAGCCAGCTCCAGTCTACTCCAGCCAGGCATCTCCCTCTCTCCAAAATGCCACATGTTCGGTTCCACCCTTTTGTAAGTGTCCACCTTCATTCTTTCATGGATGCTCAGCCTCATCGTCACTCTCCACTTTTCCCAGCCTTACTGGCTCTTTCTAATAAGTCTTGTTGAAATTGAGGTCCCAGCATACAAACGGAAACAGAGGCACCAGTCCTGTCTCCAGATTCACCAAAATCAATCGCACTGCCACATCACCTATTTCCGTACACACTGTAGAGGAAGCTGGCCCTTGAACCTCCCACTGCCCCTCTATGCCACACCCCACTCTCTGGACTGCAGTCTTTTGGCAGTGCTCTGCCCTTCCCTGGGCCTCACCACTGCCTACCTTTTGCAAACTTCCGGTAGAGGCTGTTCCAAATACTTTCCATTGTTGAATAAGGGTAGTGCATCTATGAGTGCCACAGACTTGTGAGAGTTGGGGAAGAGACAGGGCACACAGTCACTGCTGTCTAGTCTGGCCTGACCTTGTCCTCCTGTCACTGTCTGATATTGCTCTGCTCAGCACCTGTCCCACTACTAAGACTCCTTACAAGTGCAGGCTCCGGTACCATCCTGTTTTATACTATGCTGATTGCACATGTCCTATACCTGCGCTCCGGGGACTCACACTGCCACAGTAATCCTAGACTGGCACACAAGTGAAGACACACTCCTGGGAGGAGAGGGAGTGCTGGCAGTGTTTCATAGAAAAGTGGCATCTGAGCTGAGACCCACGTCATGGATCAGTCAGGTCAAGGAGCAGAGAGCAAACAGCAGAGGATAGGGGTGTGGAACCCAGGAGACCAGAGAGTAGGTCATGGTGAGGAGGCGGGAGCCCTGAGCAGGGGCCAGACTCTGCAGGGCCTTGGCAGCAATGTTAAAGTTTGTACCACAGTCTTTGGGTGCCCATCAGAAGTGAATATTGGAATGATTAGACTTTGAGATGGCTGTGTGATACAGGGCCTATTCTGTGTAAAACTTGTAGTCACAAAAGTAGCACCTGTCATATTCCTGCAGCAGTGTGCTAACAACATGGTTTTCTGGAAGTATCAAAATTTCAGAACATTATTTAAATACTTGATGACAAGGTTAAAGCTTCCAGCAGACATAAGTGTGACTACAAAAGATAAAAGGTATGTCTTTTGCCCTGGATATATTGATCATCTGGTTGGCATGGCAATGATAAGTGAATTAAACAGCATACAAATAAAATGGCAAAACTATGATCAGAAGCTGCAAATGACTCTTATACAAATTGATCATCTAAAGGTTTTCTGCTTTTCTGTTGGATGGCCTCAGCAGCATCATCCACTGAAGTTTTGATCACACCTCATAATGACACTTACAGAAGAGGACTTCAGGAACTGCTTCAGAAAGTGGCAAGAAAGATGGCCTAAGTCTATTCAGAGAGAGGGGGAGTATTTGAGGAGGATTAATGGCAATGTGTCTTCTACTGTCATAAATGTTTAATTTAAGCATTCATTGTGAATTATTGTGAAATAATTCTAATTACAGTTATCTTTTCTGATTAATATATAGCTAAATGACTTTTTCTTTCTTTCTTTCTCTACTTTTTCTTTATCCTCATTTCCTTTCTTATCTTTTAACATAGTTTGGTAAGGTTTTCCTTAAAAGCCCGATTTTAGAGCCATGTCACATTTTCTGTTAACCTGTGAGTAGTAGTTTCTTCTCACCTCTGTTTTTGTTTTGTTTAAATCTTTGCTTATTTCCTGCTGTTGTGCTTTGTGGCCAGGGACATTCTTTGTGGTCATCCCGCAGGGACTGCATACAGGGAATCCAGAAAGCCAGTTCCATGAGCTATTGATTAAACTGGCAGAGAGGATGCTGTTGACCAAGATCATCCTGTTCTTGGTGTCTGACTAACATATTCAGATTAGCATGTCACTGTCTCCGGGTCAACTGTTGTAGTTTAGGCTGCTGCAACAAAATATTGTAGACTCGTAGCTTAAACAGGTGTATTTTTCTCATAATTCTAGGGATTAAAGGACTGTAATAAGGTAAGGTACAGGCAGATTCATTGTCTGGTGAGGACACATTCTGACTGATAGATACAATCTCCTCAACCAGGCATGGTGGCACATACCTGTGATCACAGCACTTGAGAGGCCGAAGCAGACAGATCAAGAGTTCGAGGCCAGCCTTATTATATGGTGAGACCCTGTCTCAAAAAGGAAGAGAGAGAGGAGAGAGAGAGAGAGAGAAGGTGGCCCTCTGGGCTCCCTTGTAAGGCCACTAATCCTATTCATGAGGCTCATGTCCTAATCATCTTTCAACAGCTGCATGTCTTAATACCATCACATTAGGGATCAGGGTTTCAACATACAAATTGGAGGAACACAAGCATTCAGACCATAGCATGTGTTTTCTCATTTTAAAAAACCAAGATAATGACATGTATACATCAACATGAAAATTCAGTAGGGTTTAAAAAAGATGTGCCATACCTTAGTACATGTTTAGACAGGCTGCTATTTAAAGAAAAAAAGAATTGCCATGATTGGACTTTCAATTGGGGTAGGGACAGTTTATTGTAGAAAGGGCTACTCTACAAAGGTAATTCTGATTTACCACTTTCTAAAACTTTAATGATCAGAATAAAATGAAGAACTCAAGATTTCAGGAACCCGAGGTTTTTTGTTTGTTTGGTTGGTCAGTTGGTTTGTTCAGGTTTTTCTTGATGGCACACTACTATAGCCTGTCTAAATGTAATGAGAGCCTGTTTCTGATCTCAGATTGCAGAGGGCATGGCCTACATTGAGCGTAAGAACTACATTCACCGCGACCTGCGAGCAGCTAACGTCCTGGTCTCCGAGTCACTCATGTGCAAGATTGCAGATTTTGGCCTTGCTCGAGTAATCGAAGACAATGAGTACACGGCAAGGGAAGGTGCGCTCTAGTTCTAGGAACCGTGCTCAAGTGCGCTGTTATTGTCTCATTTGTACTTCATTCTTGTCTGTTTTTAATGAAGTAATTACATTGTTTTTCAATCCTGGGTTTGAACGCAGAGCCTCACACTGGGCTATATCTCCAGCCCTTTTTTTTTTTTTTTTTGAAACAGGATCTCGCTGAGTTACCCAAGCTGCCCTTGAACTTTTGATCCTTCTGCCTGAGCCCCTCAAATAGCTATCATTACAAGCATATTCCCCTGCACACTGTGAAGTCATCATTTAAAAAAATATTATTTAGTACAATATGCAAAATGTACCACAATTGTCTGTTAATGGTTCTGTTGTAATAATTTTTTTTAATGTACTTTCTTGGGCAAGGGATTTAGCTCAATGGTGCCACACCTGCCTAGCAAGCACAAGGTCCTGAGTTTGATCCCCAGTATTGGGGCAAAAAAAGTACTTTCTCGATTAACTCCAGGTGATTCTTTGATAGGCTTATAAATGCTATTATTTTTATTTCACTTAAGCAAAGAAAAAGAAAAATAGATTTGATAAGATCGAGATTATTTACATTACATAGTGAGAACTTTTCACTCAAATGATGAAATGTATATATTTTCCTTAAATATAGAGAAAATATTTGTGTGACATGTCCTATACTGTATATTGTGGACATTATCATACACAGAGAACTAAATATATTACAAAAATACATTCCTCTGTTTGCCCACATTCCATATTGTATGGTAACAAAAAGTGTGCACAGTGCTGGGAACAGTGGTACATCCCTGTAATCCCAGCACTCTGGGAGGTGGAGGAAGGAGAATTGTGAGTTTGAGCCCAGCCTAGGCAACTTAGTGACTTAATGAGATCCTGTCTCAAAAAAAAAAATGTTGAAAAAGGTCTGGGAATATAGTTCAGTCAGAGGTCCTTCAGGTCAGTGTAGCAAAGCACAGAAGGCTCACACTGCAGGTCAGACAATATACCATCCCCTGGCTTAATCTCACCACCTCATAGCAATTCGTACCTTTCACTGATATTTACGCTATGCAAAACACATGGAGCAACCCACTTGACCCTCACCGCAACCTAGAGAGGTTCAAGTATTTCCCCATTTGACAGGTGGAAGCCCCAAAAAGGCCCAGAGACAATAAAAACTTGGCAAGATCACACCAGGCAGGAAATGGCAGAACTGAAATTCAATCCTGGGCCCTGAGGTGCCACAGCCAAAATCCCAGCCCCAGCATTGCCCACCTCATACACCCCTGGTCATGGAGGTGGGGCACTAGGACAGGAATGCGTGGCAATGCCCAGAACACAACAGTTGTTCCACCAGGCCCTCTGTGTTATGCTTACTCCAGTTTTGGTCAGACAGAACAAAAAATCTCAAGCAACAACATAATCAAATCAGTCTTTTAAGTGCTTGGTATAAGCCCCCAAGTCTTTTGAGGAGGCTGTTATAATAATCTGTGCCTGAGCCCCTGCATTCCTGAAGGGGACCTTTCATGTTATCCCAGGTCAACAGGCCTGTCCCTGGTCCCTCAAGCTCACTGGCAACTCCTAGAAACATTATTTCATCATCGTCACATTCAAGGCCGATCATTCTCCTCTATTTTAAAACCTTAATATGTTTTATCCTAGAAAATGAAAAAATGGGAAATTATCATTTGTAGTAGCATCTGAAATTCCCGTTGGTACAGCTTAGATATACGTATCCACAAGAACACACACATTAAAAGACATTTCTATTTTAGGGGCTGGGGATTTAGCTCAGTGGTGCCGCCGCCTGCCTCGCAACTACAAGGTCCCAAGTTCAATCCCCGGTACCAAAAAAAAAGACATTTCTATTCCAGCTGAGAATACAGCTCAGTAGTAAAGTCTGTGCTTAGCCTGTGTGAGGCCCTGAGTTCGATCCCCAACACCAATCAACCAGTGAGAAATAAAAGATATTTATGTGCCATGTAAACATAAAATGGGCCCATTAGAGAAAAATTAGACATTTTTTTTCTTTTGATGTGGGGGTCTCACTATGTTCTTCAGGTTGGCCTTGAACTCCTAGGCTGAAGCGATCCTCCTGCCTCAGTGTCCCAAGTAGCTGGGACTACAGGCATGCACCGTGCCTGCTTCTAGAGAAAATGTGGACACTAAAGATCTATGCTTTAGAGGCTGGTGTTGAGGGACAAACATATACACTAAGAATAAATGAATACATTTCTTTATATTTCGTATCATGTTCTTTTAGGTTTAAAATTGCCTGGTTATAATACTTCCTACCCTGGGAGAGAGATTACACATGAAACTTTGCTTCCAAAGAAAGGAATATCCAAAAGGCAAGCAGAAAAAAGAAGCAAACATTTTAGTATAATACTTTGTATCATCTCCATTTGTTACTGTGTGTGTTATGTATTCAAAATAAAAAATGCTTTAAGTTATTTTAATCAAAAGAGCAAAGCATCCCACATCTATAACATTTTTGTTTAAGTTGAGATGCCCAAGTAAGAATCACATGTCTTCTTCCTTAGGTGCTAAGTTCCCTATTAAGTGGACAGCTCCAGAAGCAATCAATTTTGGATGTTTCACTATCAAGTCTGATGTGTGGTCCTTTGGAATTCTCCTGTATGAAATTGTCACCTATGGAAAGATTCCCTACCCAGGTATTGCTTATCTGTTTCCATTCAGATGATATATATGACATAAACATCAAGTTACGGAAGCATTAGAAAAAGCCTCCTCTACCCAAAAGTAAAGAATTAACACTTCATGCCAGAACATGATTTTCACTGCCTTTAGTGGAAATTGTGCTACGGTATGCTTAGACACTTCTCTGCTGTCTATTTTATTGAGTGCTTAACTCTTTTCCTTCCCTAATTCATTCCACCATTTACTCGGGGTCCAGAGTGTGCCTGGTACTGTTGTGAGTGCTGAGATAAAACTGGAGTAGACACAGGTGGCTCCCCCAAAGTGATGTCTCAGTGGAAGAGGAAAGAGATGGGGAAATGGAGATTTCCAGTGCCTTTTGGTTAGTTTTGGACCAGAGGTTTTGCATATTTGCTGTGGAGTCTCCCCCTGTTCAGGAAGTAACTGTCTTTGTTTATCAGTGAATAATCCTTCTAATCTTTGTCTTACTGGTGTCAGAGGGGACATTGGTCAGTAGCTCCAGGTTCCTAACACCTGAAGCCCTCAGAACCAGGTTCAGCCTCCCCCTCCCTCCTCCAGGGTGTATGCTATCCTGGTTCACAAGTGGGTTTCCTTCCAAATCCTTTACTTTCTCATTAATATTTAGCTTCTAACACAATCTGTGAGTAAGATCAATCCCCAGTACCAAAAAAATAAAATAAAATAAAAAAATTCTACCTTTAATATTTAAATCATTACTTTATTCAATAACTATCTAGCATGTCAGGCACTAGAGATGCAACAGTCTCTACTCCTGCCCTTGGGAGCTAATGTCCCCATGAGCAGAGACGAATGACTATCATATAGGTGTTCAGTCTGGGGGTTCCTGGGGGTGCTGGGAAAGTGTATGAAGGGAAGGGGTTTAGGGATTAGTGAGTACTCATTCAAGTGAGGATGAGGGAGCTGCTAGTTTTATCCAGTGGTCTGGTATTAACCAGAACTCAAAGAGATGAGGGAGGGACACTTATGGCTTTCCGGGGATGGAGTATCCCACAGGAGATCAGCCAGGACATGAGGTTGAGCAACAGGACTGGGAAACCAGTGTGGTTAGGGCCTCAATGAGTATTTGATGGATAAATGAATGAATGACTTATTTAGGTCATTTAATCTCCATGAAGGAGAAAGGAGGAGGACAGAATAGCAAAGGAAGCCATTGACTTGGGGTGCCATAATAGCCCCAAAGAGTTAATGGCCGCATAAGACCTTCTCATTTCACTCAGCACGAGATAGAGCCAGGGAGGATTTTTTTGTTTTTCCCATTTTGTGTCACACTCTTTCATGCTGAGCCTTTATCCTTCCTCCCAGTTTTCTGTCTTGATTCCCTTCCCACCCACTGGACCTGATGCTTCTGAGCGTGGAGCTTCTCCATTAAGTTTGTTTTAGTCTGCTTTCTGCTGTTATAACAGAGTGGCTGAGAAAGAATAACTTTTAAAGGAAAAAGGTTGTTTGGCTGAGAAGTCCAAGAGCATGACACCAGCATGTACTCAGCTTCTGGTGTGGGGCTTGTGCTACTTCAGCTTGTTGTGGCAGAAAGCAGAAGGGCAAGTGGGTTTGTGCAGAAGAGACAGAACTAGAGGAACAGCCTCACTTTATAATACAGCTTCCTTTCCTGGTAAGGAGTGCAGTCCCTGGAGAGTGAGCACCCACTCCCATGAGGAAGTCATTGGTCTCGTTTAACAACCTAGTCACCTCTTTACAGTGCTGCCTCCTAACACTCTCATTTGATCTCAGAGAATGGCTCCACAGTGTCATAATTCCGTAAGTCCAGAGATTGTCCCTCACTGCAGGCACTTTGCTTACACCCTCTCTTCAATTCGAACCACTTCTGCCTCTGGTTGCCAGATGGCTGCAAATTTCACCAAAGGTAGAGTTTAAGTTCCTATTTCTTGTTCTCTTTTTGTTTTGTTTTAGGCTGAGTTACAGGGGGAAAATGGGAGGGGAGGTAAAAGATTTTCATTTCACTGTCTAAAAACAAGAACTGTGATTCTATTTTTATATGAATTTTATTTTTAAAAAAAATGAGTCCCTGTGGTTGGAGTTTTGTTTTGCTTCTATAAAGGAAAAGGAGGTTTAATAGTAACAGGATTTCTGAAACATCATGTCTTTTCTGGCTGTTTCCTATCAGAGATCCAGGATCTTAATGCTATGTATAGATCCAGATCAAAAATTCATCTTTCTGCACACACCTGCCTCAGCCACAAGCAGTAGTCAGGGGCAAAAAAAAGTAGTTTGCTCTTTTGGAAGGAATATTATTGGGTGGGAGACTGTGGTCCTAGGATAGCTAATATTTATTCTCATTTGTGTTCTCTCTTTCTCAAAACACACACAGGAACTCAGTGTCTTTAAAGACTTTTGAGGTCTGGGTAGCTGCTAATCTCTTGTCACTAACCTCCAAATCTTTTTCTAATCATATTGCATTATATTTTCCTCTTTCCTATAATCCTTTACCAACTTGTAGTTTTGGCTAATTTTTGCTCACTCCAAATGCCACGTTATGTTCCCCACCACCTTCCTTAGGTGAGGGAGGTGACATCTGTGGATAACTCTCTGTTTTAATCATCTCTGCTTCTCTCAGAGCCTAGTACTATCTCATGACCCATGGTGATTATCAATAAGTCTTTGTTGAAAGAATGAAGGATGAAACATGAAATTGCTTGCCCCATAGCAGATCACCAGCCAATGGGTGTTTAATCTTTACGTAGACTAAGCACCAACTATCAAGTGCCACCTGAGGGTTTAATCAAGGTCTCTCTTTCCCCCTTTTCTTTCTTCTATGAGACTTATCATTTAGTGGCTCTTTTTTAATTTGTTCGTTCACTTGTACATAAAAAGACAGACACCTCTTCCATGTAATTTCCAGAGTGGAGTGTACTGCCACAGTGACAGGGATCTAGCTGCTGTCTCTGAGAAGGAACTGCACTTTATATCATAACATTCCATTGACTTGCATGGGAGAGCTGGTGGAAGAATGTTTGAATGAAAACTGCAGTGCAAACTGCAGAACTATTCTGAAAAGTGTGTTTTGCTTCTAACAAAAAGTTTTTCTTAGGACAGGATTCTTTTTTTCTACCTCCTCTAATCAAGTCAAATTCTTCAGCCAGGATAGAGCATGCCTAGCCTTAATCTGCATCATTGAGAGAGCTTTCTTCAGAGTTAAAACAAGGTCAAATACATCTGTGGTGAGGTTAGGGAACCCTAGAAAACTTAATCTTTGGTGGGCATATTCTTACATTTTACACAACGGGGGATTCTCCGGAAAAGAAATGAAAGATATTCCTAACCAGGTTGGCAGGTCCAGTTGCTACTATGTTACCCCACGAGGATCCAGAACTTTACTCGAGGTCCATGCAGGGGTAAAAACAGTTTACCCCTTTTAAAATTTACAGAAATTTCAGTTCTTCTAAAATTTATTCAGTTGAGGTTGGCTGGTTACAAGAATCAGAGCAATGCTGAAGCCGTATCATTTCATGGAAACCCAAACTCCAAACAAAGAAAGGGATGCAAACTTGCTTTCTAGCTTCAGGCAATGAAAATCAAACAAAATCTTCCACTTAGAAAATTCCAGTTACACAAATATTTGTAAATGATATTCCAGAAGTAAACTTGAGAAAAATTAATTCACCTGGTGAACAGCTCACAAGGAATATCAATGATTGGATCTTTCCATTTAAAAACTAGAGTTCTTACAACACAGAAACAACCATGTCTTCTTTTTTTTTTGGTACCAGGGATTGAACTTGGGATCTTGCACTTGCAAGGCAGGTGGTGGAGCCTCTGAGCTAAATCCCCGGCCCCCCACGTCTTCTTTCAGAGCTTTAAATCCAGCAGGGGCTCTGCAGTCACTATGTCCTTAAAATGATCTGTTAAGGGCGTAGGGTCTCAAACCTCACTGATAACAACCCACTGTGAGAAGCACACAGAAACCCACTCCATATCTTTTCTGTGTAATTTATTGTAATTCATTTTTTAAAAAGTACTGATAGTGCCCTAAAAAAATTAATTTGTTGATCCCAACTGGGTAGTGACCCATATTTGAAAAGCCTTGATTAGAGAAAAATTTTAAAGTTTTTGTTTGAATTCTGGTAAAGCCATTTTCCCTGAAGTGACTACCTGTCCTTTAGAATTTTTCCAGCGAACACTGATGTTAAAATCTATTATAGCAGTGGTAGGCTGGGATGTAGCTCAGCAATAGAGCACTTGCCTAGTATGCCCAAGGCCCTAGGTTCAATCTCCAGGACCACACGCGTGTGCGTGCGCACACACATACACACAGGAAGGAAGAAAGGAAAGAAAGAAAGATTTATAGCTATGGAAAGGAAATTGCCTGTGATGAATGCCAGGTATTATTGTAAGATTACATATGTTTTGCATGAAAATCATCTCTAGAAAAACTCATATCTCTACAGAGTGGATGATTTAAACAATAGAAATTTAATTTCACCCAGTCTGGAGGTTGGAAGTCTGAGATCAGGGTGTTAGCACAGGTCTGTCTCCTTAGCTTGTGGATGATCATCTTCTCCCTGGGACTTCACATGGTCTTTGCTCTGTGCATGTCTCTGTGCTAAATCTCTTCTTCTATAACACAAGATGTACTGGTTTAGGACCCACCCTCATGACCTTATTTTAATTTAATTATCTTTTTAAAAGCTTTATTTCCAAATATAGTCCCACTGAGGGACTGGAGGTTATCACGTCAACCTGTGAATTTTGGGAGCACACACTTCAACCCATAACAGACACAAGAAAGCTCTCTTCCATCATGGCTTCAGGGGGTGAGTAGCAAAAAGACTCTGGCAGTGGTTTCTTCTCTGGTCAGGTTCCTAAATAGCATGGTTTTTCTGTTTGTTTTTTGGGGGCCTTAGGGAGAACCAATGCAGATGTAATGACTGCACTGTCCCAGGGCTACCGGATGCCTCGCATGGAGAACTGCCCAGATGAGCTCTATGACATCATGAAAATGTGCTGGAAAGAAAAAGCAGAGGAGAGGCCAACATTTGATTATCTGCAGAGCGTCCTGGATGACTTCTACACTGCCACTGAGGGGCAGTATCAGCAACAGCCATAGCACGCAGGAAGATTTGTCCATCCAGCAGGGATGGTTGCCTCACCAGAGGAAAAAAGTAGCCATCTAGTTACCTCATGTCCTGGATCACCTACCACGTCTGGTTCCTGAGAGTAGAGGCTACGTTTCTCAGGAAGAAAAACCTGACCACAGGAAAGTATTCTGTTCACTTAGACTGATGTCCATCGAAATGCTGCCTGGATTGCACCTCAGCTGATCATCTTGCTTTGTGTGACCAACATCAAAATGCAACCTCTTAAGCAAACAAAATTCTCCCCAAATATGCTCCCACACTGGCCTAGTGTTCACAGCTAGATGTGACTCAAAGGTTCAGAGACTATTGCAAAATCTACCATAATAGCTGAATTTAACTCATAGAAAGCAAAAATAACCAGATGCATAGCCTGACACTTTGCATTTTCTCTATGCTTTGGCTTACTTTAAAAAGAATTACTAACCCAGCCTGTTAGATTTTATAAGTGAGATCAGCAGCTTCAAATTGTCTTTCTCAGATTGCAGTGTTTCTGTTTTAGGGGTTTTATTTCCCACCCCTCAAAATCTAAGACCATTAAACCTTGTCCTTCTGGATCAGCTGATCAGATTCACTGTGCAGGTGACAGGCTAATGTGTCTGCCCCCTGCAGGAGCATCGTTCCTAGCACTGGACTGTTGAGTCATAGCAGGAAGTAGAGCCTGGGCTGCCCTCTCCTGCCAGGGACAGAAGAGCCTGGGAACTGCTCTGCCTTTAACTGTCTTAACATTTTTCATTCCACAATTTCCTAGATAAAGACTTTTTTTTGGACAGTGTCATCCGGAAGAACAGTAAAAGTCTAATCTCTGCAGAGCCTTATAAGGCTTTTTCTAAATCAAGCATTTCCTTTTTGCTTCAGATGATTTGAACATTATTTTAAAAATCAAATATTAACTTTAACTATACTCTAAAAAGTAAAAATGCCGTATTTGAGGCTATTTTTGTGATTCAGCAGTCTTTTCTAAATTGTATGAGATTTGTGTGAGACTATTTATACCCAAGATATAAAGAAAATAAAGTCAGGTGGCTCCTGTGAGCTGCTGTGGTGAGAGTTGAGAGGTTTTGTTGGCTGGGTTTTTGTACTGTAAGGTTTGAATGGAAACTGCTGTGTCCCATCATTTCACTCTTGCTGTTGTGTCTATGCTTAATAATTCTATTTTTATTTTATTTTAATATATGTGGCCCAATAACATCTCAGGCTTTTTTGTCTTGTGTTTAACATTTCCAACTATTGACAATGTGAAAAAAAGTACCAATTGGTGGGAAGGGATAAGAAGTGATTCCCTTTAGCTCCATGGTATAAACTTAAGAAGTTCTACCTCTGTCCTTTGAATGTTTTGGACTGGAGAGCTGAGGAATTGATGGCTTGGATTCCTGAGCATCCCTCAATGGGCACCAGATAGGATTTGGGGGGTTTTGTGTTTTGTTTTGTTTTGTTTTGTTTGAGACAATGTCTCACCGTGTAGTCCAGGTGGACCTTGAACTCACTATGTAGCCCAGGCTGGCCTCAAACTCTTGGAGATCCTCCTGCCTCAGCCTCCTGAGTGCTGGGATTATAGGTGTACCCCACCGTGCCCAATAGATAGAATTTATTTCTGAAAAAGGTTTTTTAGGAACCATCAAAATTTTCTTGTTTTATATTTTGTTTAGGTGTCAGTTGCCTAAGGGAAGGGATCAAATAGTCTACTTTCCCTCTCTTTTTTCTGTGTGATTTTTTTAATGTCCTTTCTGAAGTATTCTAAAATTCTCAATTCACAATTGCGATATTCACAAACATAGAATATAATCATCATACAATGTCTGCATAGCTAGTTATTTAATTCACAGTGGTACATTTTCTACCCATACTGTTCACATTTTATTTCAGAACCCAATATGTTACATGGAGAGGAAGTGTAAAGAATTCTCTAGGAAACTAAAATTTTATCTTCGCCCCTGCAGGAGATCAGCTTGAAACTATACTGAGTAGACTTTAGATAGTATTGATTTGGCTTATGAATTCAGCTGTTGATTAAGATTATGAATCACTCTAAGGCCTAAGTGTGAATTGCTAATTGACCTTTCAGCTGGTGTTTGGAGATAGACTTCCCTGTGCCAAAGATCACAATTGAGGTCTCAGTGATCGATGTGGTTGTGATGTCTCTGTAGGAAACACTGAAGCTGAGGAATTATGGCTCGGTGCAGCCATTCTCTAAGATCAAATGTTAGCTAAGATAATGCAGGTGATTTAGCTATGACTTGCAAGTTAATACAGGTGCCTTGTTAACTGTGACCTAGCCCTCACAAGTATACATAATTACTCCCCTTCTTCCAAGCCTGGCTCATTAAGTGCATTCGTTCTCCTATTCCCTACATCTGCCTTCACACCCCCTTTCTATGTTATATAATCATAAATACTGACGAATCCAGAGCTCGTGGTCTTAGCCAGGACAGAGCTAAGATCAGGTGATCTTTAGCCAAGAAAGCGCTAAAGATCAACTCCCAGCCCCCCAAGTAATAAACAATCATTTGTTCTTTACTCTTTAGTCTTTGTGCATTATTTTTTCATCCCCTACTATACCTTCACATTGGGCGACCAGGCATCCCCCGGTTACTTGCCAGGCTATCAACCTGACGCATCCCCTTTTTGCTTCTCTCAGTTCAGCTTCCTTACTCCATATTCCATTTGGCTTTCTCCCTTCAATCGAGCACTTGATCCTTTCCTCCACATGTCTCCTTCATCAGGAGTCATCAGAAAGAAAAGCATACTGCCTGAGCCCTCTTCTAGAAGCAGTGGAAGCAGGAAGCCGTGTCTGGAAGTACATACAAGGGTAATAAAAGGAGGGACTATTTCTTTACACAGTGGATATATCAAGAGCACTGAAACAATTATAAACTCATTTCCAATTCTGCTTGTGGTGACTACTTTCACTTTATTCTTCCCCTTATTCTCATAAACTACATCCAGGCACAGTAGCTGCTATAAATTTCTCAGTGCTGAAGCACCAGCCTTTGATACATTCAATAGAATTAAATAAAATGCTCATCCTGCTGCTGGGCTTCCAAGTTCTTCTGATTTTAACTGCCAGGTTCCATAGCCAGTTCCTGAATGTTCCCTGCTTTGTCAGCAAAAGCATTTCTCAGGTGGAGATCATAGCTTCTACCCTCCCTCTGAGTGTCTTCCTTTATCTTCTCTTTCTGCCTCGTGAAAGGGAGTCTCCACATTTTTACTGTATGAAGTTTATAGATGAAACTGAGCTTTGCTGTTCTTGCTGATGGAAGTGATGATTATAAACAGTGAAGATGTCTTTATACTCACCATCCTCTAAGGTTCTCTTTTGTGCTTTGGCACTTTATAAAAATTAGTCTTAATTCATAAAACAACCCTGGAAATCTGGAAAATGCTATCAGTATTTCATAGCTGAAAGGTCAGGTGCATTTAAAGCCACAAAAGGAATAAATTTCTTTGATTTGTGTTGTTTCCTTGTGACATAAAACTAATGAAACATTTTTGTGGTAGTGGTGCAAGGATATTACAAAGTGCTTTATCAGAGTTCACATAGATAGGAGGAGAAATTACCATTCATCATTTTTGTATGTGAGGACAAAAAGTTGTATGAATTAAACTTAGCACTCACACTTTTAAAGAAAATTTATGGGGACTACACTTTTGAATAAAATGTTTCAAGAAAATTTTTGCTCTATTTCATTGAAGTGTATTAAAACGGAGACAAATTTATATCAAAAAGTTCTACCTTAATACTTGTATAAGAAGAAAGCCTTCCAATTCAATTTCCGATGTTCCTATGAATCTATTAGACACTTTAGGTGAGAGAGCCAAAAATGTCACAGGGTTACCAAGATGGCCACACCGTGACCTTGAATATTCACGGTAAGTGTGGAAATGGCAGGAACGATCTCTGTGACTTTGTATCTAGGTCATTGGAAAGACATTAGAAAGAATCTGGACTGGCTACCGTGCAATCTTAACACAGAACTGCTAAAATCAAAGGCGACTCCATCTACAATAGTGCCAAAAGTAGATGTCATGTCGCAAACCGAGAAAATTATCTGTGACTTTTGTTTATTGTTAACCTAATACTGAGTGTGGATGATAGGCCTTTAAATCTTTATCTGTTTCCTAAGAGTTGCTGTGTTTTAAGTTTCAGTTTTTTAAAAGATTAATGGCATATATATGTTGAATATTAAGTGGTAAAATCCCAGTGAACACCAAGAATGTAACTTAACCAAGTAAAACATCTCTGCAGAAAAATACCTGAATATTCATATGTGAGATGGATATAGTCTATAATTAGATTCAGGTTAATCTTTGCCACAAAATGAGCTCTATAAATGTCTTTTGGTTTTTCCAGTCTTTTGGATTTCAGATTGTGGGAAGGGGGCATAGATTTGTATTCTAATGGCTTCTTGAAGAATATATAACAACTTTCAGTATCAGTGCTGTATTGTATTCAAATGGAGCACATTCAGAGGTGATTGGTCAAAACACTATAGGCAGGATGTAAAATACAAAAAGAAAAGATGCAAAATATTTATACTTCCCTTTGAAACAACAGTCAATTTTTAATATAATCTCTGCAAATACTATCTCAGGAGGGTCTGATGAACAGCAGTTCAAGAGGTGGGAAAGCTAGCAGTTTTAGTCACCCACATGGTACCTCTGGGAGTCAAGAGAATTAAGTAATGTGGTCCTGGATCCCTTAGGACCCTTTTTCACATATGAAATGAGATGCTGTCTCATCACATGGATATCAGGCCATATGGGAGTGTAATGTTCAGTTCTGAAAAAATGATGGTGGATCTTCAATCTTAACTGCTCTAGACAACTCACTTTGGTGTGGGCAGTGGAATGATTTTAAAGGACAGGGAGCCACCAGCAGCCACAGCTCAGATGTGTCTTTATTTGTTGATAGGGAATGAAATCTTTCTAAAACTTTTTCCTGTCAAAGAATTATGCTTTGAATCCTCTGAAAACTTTTTTCAATGCACTTAACTTTATATTGGGTTGCCTTTGGGCTAATAGTAGTCATTAAGTACAATGCTTTATGGAGCATTTTGCTGTGATATAGGAACCTCAGATGTGTGAGGGATTGTCTTAGTCACCTTTCTTGTTGCTAAGACAAAACACCCAACACCCAAAGTTAAAGAAGGAGAGATTTATTGTAGCTCACATTTTGTTGAGGTTTCAGTTCATAGTTGGGTGGCTCCAAGGCAGGCTAGCATGGCAGAGGGACCTGGCAGAGGAAAAACAGTTCATGGCAGGCAGAAGGCAGCAAAGTAGTGAAGCAGCAAGCAACAAGCAGCCCTCTTACTGTCCCTTATATTCTATCTTATATTCTATATGCCCTTAGGGCAAGTAACACTATGACACAAGTAAGCCTTCCCATTCTCCACACCCAGAACTATGCCAAATTAGTGGACTAATTTAGTAACCATACACCCTTAATCCTAGAATTACACACTTAATCCTAGCATCACACACTCTAGATCCAGCCACCTCTGAAAACCCCCACCCATGACCACATGAGGCTTTGTGGGGACATCTAGATACAAGCCATAACAGGGACACAAATACTTAACCTTAAATTGCTTGTGTGATGGCAACAAGTACAAAAATGACAGAAGGTCAGAAGGTAGAGCAAAGAAATTGTCCTAAATGAGAAAAAACAAGTAAAGTATGAGAAAGACCATCCTGAGGAGAACACAGAGCTGATTAGAAGGGCAGGAAGAGATAAAGAGGAAAGACTTCCTAAAATAGGTGGCCTTCAAATTGGGTCTTCAACATCAGACAGGGCATTCAGCTAAAAAGGAGACTTTAGGGAGAAGCTTCAAAGAAGGAAGAGGCAGGGTAGGGGAGCATGGATGCATCAAAGGACAGGGCACCTACACAGGAAGTGTGAGGGCCACAGCATCAGCATCACTCGAAAGGCTCATCATAAGAGACTGCTGGACCTTCATTACGGTTTCAATTCTGGGATGAGACCTAAAAGTAACAGCTGATACTGCCAGTCCTGGACCACCATTTGAGACCTAGGGGCTGTCAAGATACTTATGGGCAGGGAAACCAGATGAACCAGAATGAGGCCACATCTCAGAGAAAATGCAGAGTTGCAGATGGGAAGTGGACCTTTAGATGATGCTGGGGAGCACAGCATAAGGAATGTACCATGGGCTTCAGAGCCGCCTGACCTGTTTACCCAAATCACCTCTGCTTGTCCTCAGCTACAACGTGGGGGTGATGATTGTGCTTATCTCACAGGATTATTATGAGGAATAGATGCAGGAATATTTTATTATAAACCAGGCACAGGGTGAAGTTAATATATTTGTCAAATGAAGATGTTTGTTGAATCAAGATATTAGATGTGATGTCAGAAAAACATGAAGTCCAGGCAGCAAGTGGTGTAAGGGACAGATGGACAGGAAAACCAATCAATGAGCATGTCCCCTTGTAAGAAAAAGAAGAATCCAAACTACACTTGGGTCTGTTATGGAAAACATGATAGTGGCAGACCTTCTGAACACCCAGAGATGAAGTTTCTCTAGATTTGGGGTAACCCAGCCTGGACTACATAGTGAGACCCTATGTCAAAAAACCCCAAAAATTAAAAAAAAAAAAAAAAAGATTTGGGATAAAGTGCCAAAATCTGCTTGTTTTTTAAACAACCACCCCTCCTATACAGTAATACCTTGGTTCACAAATGTTTCTATTCACAAAAATTTAAATTTGCAAGCAGAATCTTTTGACAAAATTTTGCTTCCCATTGGGGAACCCTGCATTAGGTTATGAACACTACAGCCATCTTCCCTGTACCTTGCACAAACATGAATATGGCCATCTTCCCTAGAATCGTGGAACAAATTAAGTTCATGAACTGGGTACTATTATAATTTTGATTTACTATTCAAGTCATAACTTTGAAAAAATTTAAACCCAACCCTGCTAAAACTTTGATCTAAGACTTCTGACTTCCAGAACTGTGAAACCATAAATTTCTGCTATTTAAGCTGACCAATCTGTGGTACTGTGTTATAGCAGTCCTAGTAAATTTATGCAGCACCCTAGTGACATTATAGGAGTGGTCCAAAAAAGAAACTTGGGAGAATCCACCATCAGAAAGAGGGAAGCTGGGTGTTACAGTTTAGAAGTGACCCCCAAAGGCCTCAGTGTTAAAGGCTTGGTCCCCTACCTATGGTGCTATTGGGAAGTAGAAGAACCTTTAGGAGATGGAGCCCAGTGAAAGGGAGTTAAGTCACTGGGGGTGTATCCTTGTATCCTTGAAAGAAATATTGGGACCTCATTCTCTCTCTCTCTCTCTCTCTCTCTCTCTCTCTCTCTCTCTCTCTCTCCTTCCTGGCTACCATGAACTGAAGAGACCTCCTCTGCCATGTTCTCCTGACACAAAATACTGTGCCACCCAAACCCCAAACAACAGGACAAGTGACCATGGACTGAAACCTGGGAAACCTTGAGCCAAAAGAAACTTAATTTTAAGTTGATTCTCTCAGTCATTTTGT